CACATTACTCATTCAAGCAGTTAATACTTTCCCTTAAAATACTAGTTCTCATCATCAACATCCCTCCCAAATAAAATACAAAAATGAATTGAACAAATTTCGACTTTACTCACTTTGGTACTCTGAGATAATAAGCACACAGCTGTTCACTAATTGCAAAAGGTGCATGCATACTGAAATGGCCAAGCTCCTGTGCAATATATACAGGATCAGTGCATATGTGTCATTCACAAGTGATGGGTATTTGCACCCAAGTATAGAAGAATGACCCATTAATTGAAATTTCACACTAAGCAATAGGATCTCCTTTTAAAAAACATTTGGTATACGAGTGTCATGTGTCCATTTTGCAATAGAACATATTGTAGACACATAGGTTTTCACAAGGAATGGTAAGAGATCACTAAAACCAGAAGAATACCATATAAGTCAAGCTTACATCTCGTTAAAAAGCTAAAAAAAAAGAACTTTGGGTCACTGTGACTTATTTGGCCCTCACAAAATGAATCAACTTCTCCATTAACCTGACATAGTGAAGCTTCTGACATCAGCATGAAATCCTAGTATTCATCCTACTTATGGCACCACATGTAGTACAAAGCATCTAGATTACGTAACTCACTTGCCCAGCTAGTGTCCTGATATTCCTGCCCTCGCATCACTACTACATTTCTGTCAACCAGAAGGCCTGCAGTTCACAGTATCAGGAAGTAAGCAGCTTAATCTAATTCATTTAGCAGTATTAGATGCACAACTAACAGCTTCCCCAGTAAGCCAGCAACTAAGGTAAAAGAGGACATACTACGAGCAACGATGATGGTGTAGTTGGAGCCTTCTTCAAGCACATCAACTTTCAAACAAGTTTTATTACTGTAGAGACCTACAGTAACATAGGTGTCATTGAGTTTTTCTTTGAAGAAGGAGCCGATGTAGTTCCACACATTGAATCCCTCCAGTTCCTTAAGTTTTTCCTCATTTTCCACCTGGATGACTCGGATCATCTTGCTGCTTTTTACTCGTATCTGCAAAAGACAGAGGTGGGAAAGGGTTAGCCACAAGGGAGATTCCAACATTAAAACACAGAAAAATCAGAATATCACCACTCAAGTGGTATCTAAATAAACAACACAAAACTTATGTACCATTATGAAATGCACGCTACAAAGATGAATGACAGGCTGGTTCAGAGGAAAGTACCAAGGAAGAGAAAGGGGCTTTTGGGAAGCGTGCCAACAAAGGAAGCTGATAAGATTGGTATAATGTACAATTATTATAAAGGAAAAGTATAAGCATTCACTTGAAGGAACAGGATCAGAAAGGGAAAAATCAGGATCAGGATGGGGGCGGGGGAGAGAGAATGAGGAGACAGATTTCCAAAGTTCCAATGCTAAACTTCATTATGCAAACAACTGAGCAGCAAAACAAGTTTACAAGAGACTGTGTGAGTATTCCATTCAATCAAGGCTGAGGGCCTTTCCAGACACCGTGGCTCAAGTGGGTGGGCAGGAGCAACAGTCATCACTAAATTATTGATCCTGTTATGGAGAAACTGCTGTTTCCCAGGACACAAGCAGTTAAGCACCGGTGATAGTAACTGCAATCATTGCTACAAGAAGTATGAATCTCCATTGTTCAAAGTGATGCGAGCACTTACTTGACCTTGCCTCTGACATCACAAGTCCCTTCCCCCTGGCTATCGTGCCATCTTCAACCAATCTTTTCTATTTTCCAACTTCTCTTCTTCAGTAGCTGCATAGTCAACCCTCTCCCACAAATAAAAAAGGCAACTACCCAGCAAGGAAGAAAGATTAACAGCATAATCCTAACCTTGTCTACTCAGAAGTAAATTCTACTGAAATCAACAGAGTTTACTCCCAGCTAAGTGGGGTTAAGATTGGAGCTCAAATATGCAACATTCCATTACCTGGGTATAAGAATACTACTCAGTTTATGTAATGCTGGTAAATACTGTGAAAAGAATAGAGCCGCTCCAATAGGGGAAGCACAGACATCTGCCAACCATTACTGTAGTTGGGTAAATCACAAATAGTGTATGGAGAGTTTGCATTACCCATATAGATAAGTAACTAACTAAGGGATAGGAAATCTGTGGCCCTCTAGATGTTGATGCACTCCATATGCCATCAACCACAGCCAGCATAGTCAATGGTCAGGGATGATGGGAGATATCATCCAACAGTATCTGGAGGACTACAGGTTCCCTATTTGTCAGCTACATCAATCTGCAGCATAACTGGGGCTCCAAGAGATGACCTTGTCTTTGACTTTCATCTCCAACCATGATAACCATCTATTTTTCTCAAAGCCTGAACCTATGAACATCATTCTATAACACAGAATGCTCTTTTGAATAAAAGTTTCTTTTAACGACTGTATAATACAACTTGAAACAGAATGAGAAGGCACAGAGAAAACATTTGACTATACTGTACAGTGGTACCTCTGGTTGTGAACAGGAACCGTTCCACAGGCCCGTTTGCAACCTGAAAAGAACGCAACCCGCGTCTGCGCATGCGTGGGTTGTGATTCGCCACTTCTGTGCATGCGAGTGATGTCATTTTGCGCGTCTGCACATGTGCGAGCAGCGAAACCAGGAAGTAACCCGTTACGGTACTTCCGGGTCGCCGCGGGACGCAACCTGAAAACGCTCAACCGGAAGCAAACGTAACATGAGGTATGACTGTATACAAAACTAGCTTCACAGTAACACAGGAGAGCACTTCAACAGTAATCATGGCTCCAATTCTGAGCTTTGAGAAATGCATTACACAGCACCCCATATCGTTCATCCACCACACACTCCCAACCAGTATGCTGAGAAACAAAAGACAATGGAGGTTTTTATGAAAGCTACATGTAGCTACTTAACAGAGATTTACATAATCTAGGATTAGTTCCCTTGATTTTTGTTAGCAAGTATGCAGACAGAAAGTTCGGCTGAGGTTCGTCAACTGCCAGAAACTTAAAGGACTCCATTTCTTACCTGAATTCTGGTCCATATGTCATGCCATTTTGGGGTCACCTTGTTTGTGTAGCAAAACTGCTTAGAGGAATTCTCTTTTTGCATGCGATGATCTTCAAGAGGCAACACTCGATCTACCGAGTTCAAACAATAACCAAGGACTGCGTTAAAGACATTTGCAAGATCTTTGCCTGAAATCAGAGTTGCTGCCTGAGAATTGAGAGAACTGGGTTGTTTTATACAAAATGTAGATCAGGATTAGTCTATTCAGTAAGGTGCTGGAATGATGCTCTCTAGCCTACACCAAGAAAGCACTATTTCCGAGAGCAGTATTAGCAAGAGGACACAAAAAATTCCAAAACATCACTATTCATTTTCACACAAGTTATACCACACCAATGAACTGCAATAGGCAACTTAAAAGCAGCCACTAACACAGGGTTTGGTGGCCCAAAATCTACACGTAGTGGACAATGAGAGGGAGCCTGCACATTCATGGACATGCATGTACACATGCACCTTCTACACATACCACCATGTTTTTTTCTCCTACGTTGAATTTGAAATTTTAAGATCCTCAGGGCAAGCACCTGATTGTGTAGATTCTGCAAAGCACTATAAAAATTATGTGTGCTTGGCAAAGAGGAAATTTCAAATAATTCACAAGCATGCAAAAAGTAACTTGTGAATCCTGTGGGGGGGGGAATACTTTTATGAATATAGCACCCAACCTGGTGTCCTCCAGAAATTTTTGACTACAGTGCCCATCATCCCTCACCAACAGCCATGCAGGTTGAGGTTGATGGAGTTGTAGTCCAACAGCATGTGGATGGCACCAGGTTAGAGAAGGCTGCTTTGCAGAATAACTAAAAAGGTTCCTATCTCAGGAAGTTAGAAACTAAATTTCACTATGGAGTGTGTGCATGCATGAAGGAAAGTGGCAAGGATTAGCAAGGGATGAACAAGCACAATACAGTTAAATATACTTAGGTTTTAGAGCCACTGGAGATGCGGATAAAGCTATTGTTTTCAATTGTTTAAAATCATACTCTGCGCTGATTTCCTGCGCCTCCAGGAAATGGCACTGCTGGGGGGAAGCCTTATCAAATTCAGATGGACCTCCTTCCAAGTTAGCAGGCACAGGACTGTGCTGTCAGTGTCAGAAGTTTAGTGAATCCTGCCTTTTACCAACAATTTTCACCTGGGCTGTTCAAATCAGACACTTGCCAGTAAACGAGTGCCATCATTTACAGCTAAAGGAAACTTAATATACCCCAAATTCATAGCCAAGCATTTCTGGCATTTCCAGTTTGCTCTCTTGAGACTTGCTGGTAAATAACAGAAACGTAGTGCCTGACAACATTTATGTTTTTATATACAGTACGTTGGAAGCCGCCCAGAGTGGCTGGGGCAATCCAGTCAGATGAGCAGGATACAATTATTATTATTAGTAGTAGTAGTAGTATCTTTACATACATAACAATTGTTATAAAGTTGTTTCACATAGAGCTAGGTCCTTCAGTTCCAATTCTTTGGTCAATTAATTATGAACATTTTGGGAAACACCAAACTAAAGCCTCTTATGTTGAAGCCCAGGAACAAATCACGTCGCCTTTCTGCCTTCACTTCCCAAACAAGACCACGGATAAATTATGCTGTCTAGTTTTGGGTGGAATTTGCAGCATTTTAACGAAACTGTACATTTCGTGTGAATTGTTTTTATTAGTAGTAATGTTCATTTATTAGGTCTCTATGGCGCCCTTCACCCGAAGATCACGGGGCAAAACCTGCCTTGGGAAGGGAAGGCAGCTCAGCCGAGATTCTGGCTCCCCTCGCAGCTCCGCGCTCCTGGGATTCCACGAGGGGGAAGGGCCCGCCCTCTTCCCGCCCGCCCGCCCGCTTACCTGAGCCGCCCACCGGCACCACGAGAACCATGGCCCCGAGGAGGAGGAGGAGGAGGAGGAGGACGCGGTGGCCAAGCCTAGGCCGCCCCGAGGCCGCCTTCGTCCCTCCCGCCATGGCCGCTCCGCCAGCCCTTCACCCGCCGCCCATCCCGAAAGGTCGCTTTCTCGCCGCGGTTCCTCTGGCAACCTATCGGAGAGCCGGGCTCGCCGCCACGCGGCCTCCCCTGCGCATGACCGAAAGGGATATTAGCCAATGGCAGGCTGCTCGAGCGCGGCCGCTGTCGGGAGTTCGCCTTGCCTGACGGTAGCGCTGAATGATGTGCCAGCAAGCCTATCGCCGCGGCGGCCTCTGTGAGGTAACGCCTCTCGGCAAAACGGCACATTAACCTGCTGGCTCTCTGGCCAACGACAAAGTCAAATCGCCCGACATTGAGCCCGCCCCCAGACTCGTATTGGGCTGCGGACGTCCCTTGTCAGCCAATCAGAGAAACAGTTTTTTAAAGCTAAGCCCCCGCCGCCGTTTTCAAGCGGCAACATGGCAACCAAGGCGGAATGTCTGACGTAGAGCGAAGCGACTTTCGCTTCACGCGCGCGCTGCGCAAGCAGCTGTTGAACCTCGTTGCTGAGCAACCGCCTGAGTGACAGGTCGCAGTTTCAGCTCTCGCTTTAGATTTCAACTATTAGAATTCAGTATCTCCAAGTGGAGGGAAAGAAAACGACTCCACCTTGTGGGAATGTTCAGGGATGCAGGAGAGGATATATTGTTTGATTATATCCTTTCCAACTTGTGTTAACAAGTTCCACAATTTAGCAGAGTAACATTCCCCTTTTTAAACTTGCACAGCGGATGCGTTTGCTCAGGCTCACTAAAGCCTCTAAAATACGTTTTTCTTTTGGTAATTTCCCATTTGGTCCCTCATAAAAAGATAGACACGACACAGTCTTCTATAAAAGTATAAAAAGAGTTTACTCACACATTCTGTTCACAGATGGATTCCAGAAGGCAGACTTTAAATTACAAAAGTAATATACACCTGGAAACTGTCCCATAAGGAGACAGTCCCTTTGTAAACCAATAAAATCTTTAATAAAAATTAAGTTTTATAAAACTCTGTAAAGTATAATTACCACAAGATCTAGATCAGGAAAAAGAGAGGGAATAAAGATCTGCATCAGAATCTGCTGCCCCTGTGGATCCTGCCGCCTGAGGTACCCAACTTGTGATTCCCAACAATGGCACAGTGGCTTTCAATTGCTTATCTTCCAATAATTTATCTAATCCTCTTTCAAAGTTAGTGGCCATCACCCATCTTTTGAGAGCGAAGCTATGCGAAGAACAGATAAAGGAGCTCACTGTACGCCCAAGTGTGTTGCCTGTCAGCTCCCTCCTAACATGTACACGTGATGGGCAGGATTAATATAAGGAGTCCCATCAGTGGAAGCCCTGCTTAAGAATATATGCATGTGCAAGAGGACTTGCCCCTTTTTCTTACCCCATGCCTCCTGAAATTAGGTCTAGAACAATATACCCGTACATAGTGTATAAAGTACATTTGAAACACATTTTCAAATGTGTTTGTTAAGGGCTGCTGGGATTGTAATTCCATGAGGGATACTCCTGGGAGGAGTGCAGGAAGCGTTTGCATGACACACTTACACACTGCAGCTGACACGCTAATGTGTTGTGGCACACAGTTTGGAAAGCTCTGCTTTATACCATAGACAAACAGGGAGAGTCCATATTTTTTCCAATGACTGGATGTCTCCAATGTAGCTCTTAATATAACAGAACACACTATACATGTTTTGATGGGGAAGTTAGCTCACATCACATAGGTTTCAGTTCTCATTTGTCAGCCAAGGCTGACACTACCCATTTCAACCCCCCAAACTCAATCAATATCTCACTTCCCTGTAGCTGTAACTGCCAGAGGAAATAAAAACGAGCACACTAAACTTAGAAAAAATAAAGTTCAAAAGACAACAGAACATTGTTACCTAAAATTGTGGTTTGAGGTTATAGGCACCTGGTCCTGAGTTCTCCAGCTCCCACCATATTCCCCATGAAGGGGCCGGCACCTGAAAATGTTTGTGCTGGGGCTGTGCACACCACAAGGACTTGTGCGCCTGATGTCAGCACGTCTGCAGCAAGTGCGTCCAATATCAGCATGCCCCGCTGATGTCACATGTGCACATCAGTGGGCATACTGACGTCAGACGCATGTGCGCATGTGGCGTGTGTAGCCCCAGGCACCCACTGACCCAGGGCCAAGTTCGGGGTCATTTAACACAAGTGCTTCTGCTAGCCAGAGGCTATATCCAGGATTGTTCATTTTATAGTTTGGGTACACTTTATTGTTTTTCCAAAAATATAAAGAGTGGTGGTATACTCCCTCTAGTGAAGTCAAAAATATGGATGCATGATTGAATGGGGAAATTCCAGTGTTTCCTGCAGTAGGAGGAAGGAAAACACTAAGACGAATTCTGGAAATACTTAACCTGAAAGTGGGGAGTAAAAATGACATTATATTAAACCATTAAATGTTAATGGGCTTTGTTTCCTATTGCTTTTGTAATCATTTACAATTGTAGAAAGAAATTAATAATTTTCTGATGTAATGCATTGTCATATTGTCAGAAGCTAGGGCAATAAAAAGAGCAAAACAGTAACTGTTGCAATGTAGAAATAATAGCTTCCAAGAAGCCCAGCAATCCTTTGCTGCTTTCTCTAGTGCAAAGGTGGGCTACCTTTATTTTGTGGGGGACCACATTCCCCTGGCGGTGGCAATGGCAGGAGGGGGGAGTAATCTCTGTGGGGCTGCATGCCAATGATGGGTAGAATCAGAGACAAAAGTGTTCTGGATTGACTAATCCAGAATAAAGATTACCCTATTCCAATTTTCACCATTGCTATCTCAGATTAGAATTCCTGTTCTTATGCAAGTCTACTCAGAAGTAAGCTCAAATGGGCTTCATAAGACAAGCAGCACATGGTATTGATCACACAGAATTTTTGCATAATATTGATTGAGGTTCTATCTTACACAACTTAAGAACATGATAGGATACAATATTTATTTATTTATTTATTTATTTATTTATTTATTTATTTATTTAGCTGTTCTCCCACTTTCATGCTGCTTATCAGTTTGCAGGCCATTATTTAAGGGACTGAGTGCAATCCTTTTTGTTGTTTAGTTGTGTCCAACTCTTTGTGACCCCATGGACCAGAGCACGCCAGGCACTCCTGTCTTCCACTGCCTCCCGTAGTTTGGTCAAACTCATGCTGGTAGCTTCGAGAACACTGTCCCACCCTCTCGTCCTCTGTCGTCCCCTTCTCCTTGTGCCCTCCATCTTTCCCAGCATCAGGGTCTTTCCCAAGGAGTCTTCTCTTCTCATGAGGTGGCCAAAGTATTGGAGCCTCAGCTTCAGGATCTGTCCTTCCAGTGAGCACTCAGGGCTGATTTCCTTAAGAATGGATAGGTTTGATCTTCCTGCTGTCCATGGGACTCTCAAGAGTCTCCTCCGGCACCATAATTCAAAAGCATCAATTCTTCGGCAATCAGCCTTCTTTATGGTCCAGCTCTCACTTCTATACATCACTGCTGGGAAAACCATAGCTAACTATACAGACCTTGTTTCAGGACTTTTTGGTGTAGGATGTGGGTCATAAATTTAATAAATCTAACCTGAGCTAACCTACTCAGAAGTAAACCCCATTTGATTCAGTGGAACATACTGCCAAGTAATTATGCAGCTTTTTAGTGAAATCCTATGTTTATCTACTCAGTACACCCCAGTGACTTCAATGGGTCTTACTTCTCCTAGGTAATTGGCTCTAGGAGTGTAATCTCAGTCTCTTTCATTTGAAAGGGAATAATCAAGAGTGCATGAACAGTTCAGAGGCATAACTAACTTATTCACTTCAGGGTCAAATCTTCCCTTTTGCTTTGTTATGTTCATTGTCCTATTTTCATACCCTGTAAGTCTCCCCAGCAGGGATAATGACTGTCAAGACTCTGTGAGAACAGCATGTTCACACCCACACTATCTAAAATATATGTCTATGGATAACCCTTGTTCCCGTGCCAAGGTCACATCGCTATCCTACCGGTCCAGCAGTCCAGAAAGAGACCCTCTTCTTCAGAGGAACAAAACATGATGGAGGTCAGATTAAGAGAGGAAAAGAGACCTCGACCAAAAAAAGTGCTAGGGTAAAAGACGGGGATTCTTCCTTATTTTTTGTTTGCCTTGGAGCACAACAAACCTCACAAGAATTAAGGAGCACATTCTAGCTGAGAAAGGAGCCATTCAACCTGTTTTGATAGTCCAGCCTGATGTACGGTAATTCAAGATGGCTTTCTCAGAAATCCCTCTCTATAACTGGTTTGCTGGTTGAGTTTATTGCTGCAAAAAGTGACTTGACGAAAAAGGAGATTGAGGTGCTCAGTCTGGCACGTCATGAAACAGATACCTGCACTGATAATGATCAGTGGCTACTGTTACCTGAACTTTCTGCTGGTGCATCCCTTTTCCAACAAGAACATACAGTATGTACTGTAAAAGCAAATCTCTTCTTCAAAGAAGAACCTTCAAAGGTTGCTATATAAGTGCAGGTGCTTGGGGAATAAAAAGGAACCAGGCAAGATTAACATCCTAGAGTTAAGTGTCCAGTGCTGGCTGAGACACCTTAAGCAAGGACAGTTGTGCAGCTCAGGGAGGGCTGCCGTTGAGTATCAGTGCTCCTGCTTTAAATGCAAAATGTAGCTGAGTATCAGCGCTTGGAATGCATCTCCTGATACAGCAGAGGTCTGAAACACAGGAGAGCTGCTGTCAGTGTTGACAACACTGAGGTAGAAGGGCTAGTTATCTGACTCAGTACATATAAGGCTGTTTATGATGTTTTTAACACTGGCAGAGCCAAAGTCCCAATGTTTTCCTCTGGGCAGCTGGAGATAGCTTTTCATGCAATGCTCATAACTGAGAGGCATAGGTACTCTAAGGTGGGATGTAGTGCCACCAAGGCATCACAATGTAGCATGCATAGATGGATATCTGACTTGGTTCTTTTGCAAAAAAGGTACCGGTAGGCCTTTGTAGCAGCAAGAGGAATAGCCTAAAGCGTGCCTGTGTGCGTAAAATTCATCAAAGCAAGAAAAGGCTTCTTTGTCTTTGGCTTCAGAGTGTGAGAAATTAAGCAAGTGCCTAAGAGCCTTTGTAAGGAAAGAAAGCAACAACCCTACTTCAGAACGGATCTCAATTGCTTTTCGTTTTTGATTCTCTCCGGGAGGCTCATATTAGTGGGAAGGAAAGGCTCAGGGGGTGGACGGCAGCCTTTTCAACGAGCCTATGTGGGATGCAAATGCTTCACAATCCCATCCTTTCAACCCGGCTCTTTAATGCCAAATATTTTCTTAATAGCATAATTGTCAAGGCCCTTCCCACGTGCTGCCCACTGCTCTGCACTTGGCTTGCTGCACCTGGGTAGGGAATTTCACACTCACGGCGATAGTGGGAGAGGAGGGATAGCTTGTAAAGTGAGCTGATGGGAAGTGCTAGGACAGTCCTATTGCACACCCCACGATTGGCCAGCTCTCACAAGAAACCATGAGCTTCTTCAACCTCAGTCTGACCTCAGTCTCTGAGCTCATCCACTTCTCTGTGTTATTCCGACTTGAGTTGCCATATACTCAAGCTTGTGGAAATGTGGCTGAAGTTGGTTCCTAGCTCCTTATTCAACACGGAGCTACGTGCATGAACCGCCCAAATGAAGAACTGATGTTTATATGCCCCTTCATCCTCGAAATAAACTTTGGTCTACCTACATCTTGGGTGCATCTCAAAAGGAACAGTTTCTCAGTAGCAGAGATCTATGACTGGCACTCTAAATTATCACTCTAATTATCAGCTCTAAAGAGTTGATAATTTTGGGGATAACTAACTAGAAACTAATAATCAGATTAGTTGCTTTCATGATACAGTATTCTCAGGAAAGTCTTCATCTGACGGCTGGCCATTCAGATTAGTTTAGCTTCAGATGGGAACAGATCAGTTGGCATTACCTTAGCAAATTTAACTGATTAAGTAGTTGGAGAAATACCTGCAAAGCATTAAAGTAGGCTATCCATGTAGGCTACACGTTTACCCGGAAGAAAGACCCACTGTTCAATGGGATGCATGGGATAGCAGCTCTAATACATTGCCAAGTTGTACTAATTAATGTCCAAAACTCTTTGTCTGTAATTGTAGGATTGCTGCCCATATACAGTGGTACCTTGGGTTAAGTACTTAATTCATTCCGGAGGTCTGTTCTTAACCTGAAACTGTTCTTAACCTGAAGCACCACTTTAGCTAATGGGGCCTCCTGCTGCTGCTGCGCCGCCGGAGCCCAATTTCTGTTCTTATTCTGAAGCAAAGTTCTTAACCTGAAGCACTATTTCTGGGTTAGCGGAGTGTGTAACCTGAAGCGTATGTAACCTGAAGCATATGTAACCCAAGGTACCACTGTACCCAACTACAGTATGTGACACGTATGACTCTCTGGTGCCACATATACACTGCACCTATTTATTCCATATTCATCCAGAATAGTATGTCAATCCACTTCTACCACTTCCTTCCCCTCCCCCACATTCTATATGAGTGCACGGGGGTGGGGAAGAACTAGCCACTTCTGATTGTGGGTAACTACCGGTAATCCATGGCTGGTCATCTTGAGTGGGGCAGGGAACACAGAAGCACTGCATTCCAGCTGTAAACATGAGGCATTTCTTCCTCAGTTAGAACTGGGGAAAGAACCCAAGGGTTCCTACATCACACACCCCTCTGCTATAATGTAGTAGGTGATGCTTCTTCTGAAGAGCATAGGAACTGCTTTATGTTAAACAGGCTTTATAACAGATTGGGAACCTTTTTTGGCCAGATCCTTCTCTGTCCTCACCTCCCCGGGCCAACTCTAACAAGTGGGTGGGGAAAACCACCTGCCAATCACCTGACACCAAATGATTGACAGGTGGGTTCTCCCACTCACCTGTCAAAGCTCGTTGCGCAGCTCTTCCCAAGTGCCCAATAGCCACGTGGATGCTGGGTGCCTGGGAACCGCAGCACAAGGGGTTTTGCTGGCCGTGAGCTTGGTGTTTCCCAAGCACCAAAAACAGGGTTGGTAAAGTTGTTTTTTGCAGTGATCAGCTGCACAGCCAATCCAGCTGTCCCTCTTTCTGTCCCACAAGATGTCAGGTATGGGGAGGAAGAGCATGGTTTGGCAATCATCAATCAATCAATCAATCAATCAATCAAGGCCTCACATGCCAAATTGGGATCTGTACCAGGGCGAGCTCTGGCTCACAGCTCTATACTGACCAGGATGACGATTTATTGAATTTATATACAGCCCTATACCTGGAGGTCTCAGGGCAGTTCACAGGATTTCAGGAAGGAGCTAACCAGCTCCTAACTAGATTTGCTAGCTAAGGAGCCCGGGACCTTCTGCATACAAAGCAGGCGCTCTGCCACTTAGTAGCCAGAGAGACAGGCCGCTCTCCTGGCACTTTTGGGGGGCAGCACCGTGCAGCTCCACCTCCAGGTCCAGCTTGACCCGGGGGTGGAGAGAGGAGAGTGGGCAGCAAATAGGCCGCCCTCTCATGGGCTGCGTGGCGCCACGCGAGGATGCTGCCAAGGCAACTTTCTCCGGGTCAGGCGTGACCAGAGGGCGCAGGGGGCTCCATCCGCGCCCCGCCCCGGGCAGCAGGGGCAGAAGGGATTCCAGGGCCGCCCTCAACGCCTGCCTGCCTTCCTGTTAGAAGAACTAGATGGTGAGCCTTCAGGAACTGGGGGGGGGGCCTAAAAATCTCTCCTTTCTGCTGCTACTGCAGCTCCCCCAAAACCTCCAGAAATCGGGGCGGGGGATCTGCAGGCCGGCTGTCATTACTTCCTTGCGCCCCATTTGAGAGTGTGGGGAGCGGTCCCCGCCTCGGGGCTCTTTTCTTGAGCGTGGGCGTGGGGGTCTCTTTCGCGCCCGCGCCAACTTCCCTGCAGCGCCAGGAGGGGCGGCGAGAGGCCGCGCGTGGGCGCGCTCCTTTCTGCCAGCCCCGCGAGCAAAGCGCGCCCACTGGCCGCGTGGGAGGCAGGATGTGCGTCAGTCCCGCGCGGGGGAGGCCAACACGTGGAAGCGAGTCCGACCGCAGCGCTGGTGGGGAGGGAGGCGAGGGCGGGAGCCTGTCCTTTAGGGAGGCGAAAAACAGGATTTATCGGCTTCCTTTTCAAAAGCCCTAAACTACCTGTCACTGGCGAGAGCGGCCCATCGGAGGCGATAGAATGGGAAATCCAGACCACCACCCCCAATGGCGGGTGGTTGAGTTTTAGTTTGTTTGTTTTTCTAATTGCACTGGAATTGGAGCATTCCTCTCCCTAATATGATTGCCCTCCTGTATCGCGGTGGGAAGGCGCAGACTGAGAAACGTCGGGCCGATGGAAGGCTGACTGTTGCTTACAACAACCCTGCACTGTCAGCCGAACGAGGACGCTTTTTACCATCACTGTCTTGCTCAATTAGACATTGAACCTCGATTTAATGTTCTCTTAAGTTAAAGCTGAGTTTCTGCAGTCTCATTTAATCATGGGACTCTTCAGTTTACCACAAGATTTTCCAACCTCCATGTTCGCTGATCATCTACAAGTTGAAAGAAAAAGGTTAACCGGGGAGCTAAAATTATTTCAGGACAGTACTTTTAGAAATGCAGCAACTGCTAAGTGTTACTTACTCAATGATATTAAGAAGAAAGAGCCCCCCCAGGGTTATTGTGCTCCTGCTGCCTGTGCTCGTGCACACACCTGCCTGGGGGTGGGGAGGCGCTAGTCTTTACAACCCCAACCTGTATTCCACCCACAGCAAAGTGCACCCCACACCACTATAGGGCCCTTTCTCTGCTGCTGCTTTTCAAACAGAAACAGTGGCAACAGCGGGCTGTCCTTTAGGTGCTTCTGTAGTCGCAAGTTAAACCCCGTGGCATAAATACAGCCAGCAAGAGGCAGTTGCCAGAGTGATGGTCTTGGACCTGGAAGACCAGGGTTCAAATCCCTACTCCACTCTCAAGCTCGCAGGCTGGATCTAGACATGTCAAAGAAGCGATTCGTTTAAACTCCTTGTAAGCTCATGCAGGGAAGCCTGATAGGGAAAGATGGGACTCCACAGCACCAACTGGTGTCACAGTGTTGTATTGCATATGCAGCACATATAAAACACTTTTTCTTTATCAATCTAGCTGAGTCCACAGCCTCTCTCAGCCTAACTACTTCACAGGGTTGTTGTGAGTATAAAATGGAGAATGGGAGAACCACGTATGCATCTTGTGGTCCTTGGAGGAAAGGGGGGGATATAAACCTACAAATAAATAAATAAGCAGCTACCTTCCAGAGTCTTGTCTCCACCCAGAACATGGCCAGCTGCAAAGCTCTGGTACTTGGCTGAGTCACTGATTCATAATGATGCCACTTAGGTTGTTGAACTGGCACTGTTGCACACCACCCCAGTCTCTGAGTAGTGCAAGATTCCAGGGGTTCCAGGCACATTTACCCAGGCCTGGGCTTCCTTTTGGAAATGAGGCACAACAGAGTCTGTGGTGTCTTTACGATATATGGTTTATATAGTACACATATTATACAACCTGAGCCTACAATGGAGGGGCTCCCAGCATTCACACGCCAAGAGGGTCCTGCTTCTCCCACAGCTGCAGCCCTGGATTCAGGCAGACAGCAGCCATGGCTCTGACCCTCTCTCTAGCTTGCTGCGTTTTACTGACTGCTGCCTTTACCAGACTGCAACCGTCTACTCCTCTCTTCCATCATGGCCAATGTTGAAAACCCAATCCTAAACACTACTTCAAACTCTGAAGTTTGGTCTTTCTAACTAACAGAGCTGGAGGAGGGTCTCTTCTCCTTGGCTTACTTAAAGGTCCATTACTTTCCCTTAGTTCTTGGTTAATGGCTCATCTCCCAGGTGATTACCTCATGAGGAAACTGGTGTGGCTCATATTTTGCCGCAAACTGAATCCAGGAATTCATTGTCCAGCACTCAGTTTAATAACAAGCATTAAATTATAAATCTTACTGGGCCCAGGAATTTAGGGGAGTCTGGAACCCCCGAACTCATATTGGTATGTTAACTCAAATGCAGGTCCTCCACTGTCCTTGGGACGTGTGCATAGAATTGCAACCCAAATCCTGTTTTCCCCCAAACACCTGCTTGTATGAATACGGCTTGCAGTTCTGACATGCAGCCTAGCTCTGTAGCATTATTCACAACTGGTTAAAGAAATGAAGCTGGTGTTAGCTCAGCCCTGGCTTGTGTGTGAGGAGCCCTGGTGGCAGATGAGGATTCAGAGCCCCTGCCGAGGTTGTGGGACTCAAGGATGGGATAGCTTGTGGGCCAGCTTGAAGAGCATTAGCACTTTGAATCTGCCCCCACCTGGGTAGATGCTGTCACCATGCCCGTGGGAGGTTGCACAGTGGGAACCATATGTTACTGCTCAGGCCTCTCTGAATAGAAACCTTTTCTCAGCAGCTAAAGCTGGTCAGGAGGATCCGGCCTCCACAGAGGCAGCTCCCTGCCTACGCCTTCCTTTGCATGCAGGGAATAGCTCTGACTTCCCGGGGCCTCTGTTGCTTAGAAGCTGGGAGGTTTCTCTGGGTCTGGGCACTGCTGAAGGAAGGCAGAAGGGGAGGGGCCCCCAAAATGCAGTGAAAGGGTGGCACAAAAAGTTGCTGAACTTCCGTTGCTACAAAACCCACAATGGACATTTCCTGTGCTGCAAAGAAGATGCAAAAATAAACCCACAATCAATTCCCAGCTGCATGGGGAAAAGGTAAATTTAGCTTTGGAGGGAGGTGGGAGTCAGAGCTGAGAGGCCAAAGCACGAGGGAGCTTATAGCTGGGGTGGCAGAATAGGGGAGGGGTGGCACAGCATTGGCCTTGCATGCAGGAGGTCCTCAGTCAAGCCCCAGGTATGGCTGGGAGAGACCCCTGTCTAAAATCCTGGAGAGCCACTGCTAGTCAACTTGCTGAGTTAGATGGACCAACAAACATATTGCGCAGAAGACAGCTTCCTATGTTCCTATAATACTGTTGGTGGGGTATTTTATTCTGATCATCCTTTAGATGCAACTTTTGTGTCTTCAAGTTGTTTCTCTCCTTTGGATTCTTGGGGTCATCTCTATTGCCAAGTTCTCCCCAGAACCTCTGCACATGCTCACCCAATTCAACTGAGCTATATTTACACAAATGCACATTCTTTTCATGCCATGTGGAACAGGCTGAGATGTTGAAGTGAAAGGGCAGGATTTGGCAACTGGCCAATTCCACCCACATATGGCTACACTTTAGGTACAGTGTTCCTCTTTTTGGTGTGAGTACATCTGCAGTGTAAAGATGCAATCTGCAGGAATGGGGGCCTATTAAAGTGGCATTTATGCACTAAGCGCATGTGGATATACAACCCATCCCTCTATGTTCTGTGGACATTTCCTCTCATTTACTGAACCCAATACATTGACTACTCATAAGTGTTGCAACATTATAGCCCCTTTTACTACAGCCCCTCCATCCTAGCCCACAAAACCTCCAGCAGTTCCCTTTGGGTTTTCAAGTCTGCAATATCAGAAACTCTCCTTACCTGTAGTGAAGATGCTTGCTTTGCTCATTTAATTTTAATTTAGTATTTGAAACCCACTTTGCCCTGTGAAATGAAGCCCTAAGTAGGTCCAAGTGTACAAGATCAAAAACGATTCAGGTACCTTTTCTATTGGATTGGATTTGCTACAAGCTGAGTAGCAAGTTTCAGAATGGCTCAGAAAGAAAACTCACCAGAGTGATTGCTGAAATTCTGCACCTTGCAAGTGGAGAATGCATATGTGCTATTCTATGGGGCAAAATATGATATTTTGAAGTGTACATCTTTACAAGACTCTGACGCTAGTCATCTGTCAATCCATGGAATCTCCAGGTAAAATGAAAGGCTTCAGTCAAAGACTCTTAAAGAGCTGTTGCCAGTCAGATTAGATAACACTGTGCTAGATGGACAAAAAGCCTATTCCTAATGGGCTAGCTATCCAATATCTAGATATTAGTTATTAGATTCTGATATCACAGTCTCCACTCCAAATTTTCAGTGGAGTCATCCCCACTCTCCCAGTGTAATTCTTTGGTCACGATCAGGTCATTTAAAAAATAATAAAAAATTTAAAGGCATTCAATTTTGCTTTTAAAAAGGCAATCCAAAAAAATTTGGAATGAAAGAATAATCCATTAAGTTTGTTTCCAGTAGAGTGGAAATTTGAATATATTCAACTATGGGCATAGTGGGGGGGGGTTGTGGGAGGGCAGGACTTTGTTAGGGGGCAGAAACGACGTGATTGGTCAGTTAGTTAAGTATTTCTATTGTTTTACTTGATGGGGGGGGCAGATGCCCTCCCTTGCCCGTGTATTCAACTACAATGACACTACCACGGGGAGGCATTTTTAAACAAGGGGAGCATGTATATCAACGCTAGTCCCATTTCAGTTACCAAATCCTGGCTCTGGCCACTAAAATATTTGTAATATCATCCAGCAGGATTTCGACAACGAATAATTTTATAATACGCCCCCCGCCGCCTCGGCACCCTTCAATTCACCTTGGAAGCTTGTTCCCCACAGGCACACTTCACCCACGGACGTCCAGTTCACACAATAGCGGGCAGCACGCCCACCTCACCAGCACTTACATGCGGGACCATGCGCGTCACTTGCACTTCCAAACACAACATCGCACACGTGAAACCCAAGCACTCACGCAAACGCAAAGCCGTGCACGCCTGGCACGAAGGGCGGGCGGGTGCGGGATATTGAGCGCGCAGCCCCACCCGCGAAACCCCTTTCTCTTTTGCCAGGTACTCCAAAGTCCTGCGCACCAATTTCTCCCAGGCGGGGCGTAACGCACAACGCCCAGAAAAGGGAGCCGGGGCGAAGCTGCCCCCAGCCAGCGCGGCGGCGCCGGATCCTAAGCCTGGCCTCGGGAGGCGCGCGGAGGAGGCCGGGGACAGCCATGCGGCGAAGCAGCAGCAGCAGCAGCAGCAGCCCGGCGCGCTCGGCCCCTGCCCGGCCCGCGCGTGGGCAGAGCGGAGGGGCGCGCGCGCGAGGAGGCGGCGTTTTCCTTCGCCGCTGCCGCTTTTCTGGTCCGAGGCAAGAGCCGCCTGCCGCCCCCGACGCCTCCCACGCGCGGCACCACCAGCAGCAGCAGCAGCAGCTCCGAGCCGCCGCGGCTCCATTGTAAATCCGGCGGCGTGGGAGGCGATTCCGCGCCAGAGGCTCCGCGCCGAGGCGGAGGAGGAGGAGGAGGAAGGAGAAGGGGGAAGGGGCCGAGGCGCGGCCAGGGACGGGCGCGGAGAGCCACCCCGGCGGACAGGCGCCACTCGCCTCTCGCCCAGAAGAGGAGGAAGGCGGCGCCGCCAGCGAGGCTCGAAGGCCCGGGGTCCATGCCCCACCACCCCGCCCCCCGGGACGCCTGCGAAGGAAGCCAGCAGCCCCTCGAGGTCGCGGCCAGGACGGAGCGCGCCCAAAAGTAAGTGGGGAGCGGGCGGCGGGGGGGTGAGGGTCGCCTCCCTCCGTTCTCGCCTCTGCCCCAAACTCCGCTCCCGCATCTAGTCAGGCAATTGCCCGCTTAGGAGGCCGGGGGGGGGGGGGGGAGACGTAGCTTGAAGGGACCGGGGGCGCGGGGGGGGGGGAGAAGAGAGGTGCTGGGACTCCAGGCTTTCGCGAAGGCGCACCTCCTGACCCGAGCCGCTCGGGCTCCCAAGTGGGAGATGCGCGGCCCGGTGCTTCTTCCGTGCATTCTGCACACGCTCAGAGACGCGTCGGCCTGTCATTTTTCCGCCCCTGTTCGCGGGCTAAGCATTGCCCTTTCGGGTCCATCAGAACCCCCACCCTCAAATCTCTTATCGCAAATTATGCCCAGGGGTATTTTTAGGTTGGGTTGTAGCATCCTGAATGCACCTAACCAGGGTTTGGACTGTGAGTATCTGGGGAGGGGCAGGCAGGGCGAATCGTGGAGCTAAATGTCTTTGGGAGATGGGGAAAGTGTCTCCTAGGCGCTTCAAAAAGGACTTGGAAGCTTTCCTGGTCAGCTGGAGAGAGCAGAACGTCCCCATAAACTCCCAGTCCGAAATCCTCCTTCCAGAAGAGTGTTGGCAGGAAGCATGGTGTGGGAGGAGGGCAAGGAAGTTTGGAGCTAGCAGTGCCTTCCCCCACCCTGCCTGCAAGCTTCATTACCCGAGCTCCCTTACACCCCCCCCCAAATCACTCACATTTCCACATTCCAGCACTTCCCCCTAGCATTGCTCCGGGGAAAAGACACACATAAACACATATTGGGGGGGGAGGGGAGAATGGTAGTTTACAGAACTATCCTAAGTGCCCCAGTGCCTTTCATTTTGACGAAGACGGGGCAAGGAGTGGGTGTCTGCGGAGTGTGGGTGGGTGTGTTTTAGGGGAGACAAAGAGCATCTGTTTGTGTGTGGCCTCTTCCTAGTTTGCAGAGAAGATCCAAGTAATGTGAGTTTGTTTGAAATGTCCTTGGCTTTAGTGCAGACAGAAGGTCCCATTCAGCTATTGGTAGTGCATCAGTGGTGTGGGGGGGTGGGGAGAGCTAAAGGTGAGTTTTGTACCTTCATTTTGAGTAATTCAGGGCAGGGACAGAGGACTCTCCTTGCATGCCATGGTCTGAGTGCAAAGTGGGTAAAGGGGTAAAGTAGATGCACTTTGCTGCCTGGGGTGAAGGACAAGACAACACCTCCACCTCCCATTTCCCATTCCATGCCAATTTTGAACAGGCTCATAGCTGAGTCTTCCTTCCACACCAGGCTTTGCCCCACGACTGAGGGGGTCGCGGCCGCGTGACACCACCATGCTGTACATGCATGAGCTTGGAGGGTGGCCCCTTAATTGAAAGGGGGGGGGCTTGGCTCCCATGGCCCCGCATAGATGGCGCACGTGTTCCACACTGTGCTATGGGACAGCATTCTTCACCACTCCTGAGGGCAACAGGCTAGTGTAAGAGGCACAGGGCACACCTAGCACTGCCACCCAGTGTTTCAGCTGCAACTCCCCGCTCACCAGCACCTGCTCCCTGAGGCATGTGGCCTCAAGCTTGTCTGGCCCTCAAGCTTAGGACTGTCTACGCGGACTAGTCGTGGTTCTCTGGAGTTTTAGGCAGGGGGTATGTCCAGCCCCACCTGGAGGTGCCAGGAATTGAACCTGGGGCGTTCTGCACACCCAGCAGTTGCTCTACCAGTGAGCTGTGACGCTTCCCCAGTTTCAGCATGCATTTCGTGTAGATCTCACTGAATAGGCTCAATGACAGTGCAGAGGAAAAAGTGACGTGGGGGGCGAGCTCTTTGCTTTGATGGGAAGATGGCTGTGTGTTACGGTTGGAGGTTGTTGTGTAGGATGTGGGTACGCAAGATGACACTCACTTATTCCAGGCGAATTCATCCAGAGAAAATGCCACCCTCTGGCCTTGGGCTCACAATCACTAATGATGATCCGAATCACAGTCGCAATGTTTTACAGGGCGGCACGGAGGTGGGAGGTAGACCTCTGGAGTGGGTGGGAGGGGGGTCTCTTCCACCCCCTTTATAGAATCACAGAATTGTAGAGTTCGAAGGGATCCCGAGGGTCATCCAGTCCAATCCTCTGCGATGCAGGAATCTCAGCTAAAGTATCCCTGACAGATGCCCAGCAACCTCTTCTTTAAAACCTCCAAGGTTGGAGAGTCCACCATCTCCTGAGGGAGTCTGCTAACAGCACTTAGCATCACAAAGTTCTTCCTGATGTTTAGTCGGAATCTCCTTTCTTGAAACTTGAATCCATTGGTTCGGGTCCTACCCTCCAGAGAAAGAGAAAACAAGCTTGCTCCCTCCTCCATGTGACAACCCTTAAGTTATTTGAAGATGGCTTTCCTATCTCCTCTCAGTCTCCTCTTATCTGGGCTAAGCATACCCAACTCCCTCAACCGTTCCTCATAAGGCTTGGTTTCCAGGCCTTTGATCATCTCGGTCCCCCTCCTCTGTGCAAGTTCCTTGCTTAGGACCAGTTCACACAGATAAGTGGTGCTTGTTTCCTCTGCACAATCGTCTTCTGTGGTATGTTAACCACATGTAGAGACTTCAGTGTGAATTAATAGCTTACATGGGGACAGTCTAATCAAGGGAAAAGCAGCAGCTGCCTCTGTGTTAGCAGGGGCAGATAGACGCAAGTACATAACAATTCACTTGCAGAAAACAAACACCCCCCTTTTAGGGGCCAATCAGGCCTCGAACCAAATGGATTGTGGGTACAGGTTAAATTATCCATGTTGGTAGAGAATAAGACCCTTAATTTCAGGGTCGTAGGTTTGAGCCCCATGTTAGGCAAAAGATTTCTGCAATCCAAAGGGGTTGGACTAGATGACCCTCTGGGTCCCTTCCAGTTGTACAGTTTTATGATTCTATCATTCCAAACCTGGTTGTGGGGTAATAAGCCCCAGCACATGCTCTCCATTTGTCCACCAGTCCCATGCCTGCCTTCTCTCCCCCATCAACCATGGGGGCAAGACAAGAGGGTGAGACTTCATCTCTCCGTTTCGCCCACCCTTTCTGCCGGCTCACCTCACACTCTGTCCCTGCTGCAGGTCTCTGGCTATGGCCCTGTCCCTGCCTCGGACCCTGGGTGAACTCCAGCTGTATCGTGTTCTGCAGAGAGCCAACCTCCTCTCCTACTATGAGACCTTCATCCAGCAGGGCGGCGACGATGTGCAGCAGCTGTGTGAGGCAGGCGAGGAGGAGTTCCTGGAGATCATGGCCCTGGTTGGCATGGCAACCAAACCGCTCCATGTCCGGCGCCTGCAGAAGGCCTTGCGGGAGTGGGCCACCAACCCAGGGCTCTTCAACCAGCCAGTGCCTTCCATACCTGTGAGCAGCATCCCTCTGTTCAAGATCTCTGAGTCTGGGGGCCGCAAGTCCCTGACCAACGGGCACACCAGCCCCGGAGAGACCCTCAGCAAAGCCAGCGCTACCTCCCCCGCCAAGAGCCCCTCGGATCCAAGAGAGAAGCTGTCCCCCTTGCCGGCAATTCAGTGGGGCAATCCAGAATCGGAAGAGGAAGGAGGAGCCTCCTCGCCCAGCGAGCACCCCTCATCCGCAGAGCACCTGGATCCAGAGCTGGCGCAGGCGGTGTCGGAGGGTGTGGACCGACTGCTGCGCAGCTGCCCCCGTGGCGGCGAGACCGAGCTGAGGACCCTCATGAAGCTGAACAAGAAACTGGCCAAAGCAGTGGGGCACATCTTCCGGATGGACAGTGGGGACCCTCGCAAAGAGGAAGAGATACGGCGCCACAGCGCCATCTACGGACGAGGCGAGACCCGGCGATGCGAGGGCAAGCAGCTCACGCTTCATGAGGTGAGCCAAGGAGGCTGGCTGGGGAGGCAGGATTGCTCACCATCAAGGGACTCCTCCAGGCCCAAGCAGAGCTGGCTCAGATCCAGAGTTTGCAGTGGAGCAGCCCCATGCAGTGCACATGGGGATAACACTTTGTGGCAAGGGGAGTGCATGTCTGCTAGTTCGTATTGTTTTGTTTTTAAGATGGGGTTTGGGCGCTCCAACTCTAAAGGGAGCTAAATTAGCTGAGAGCCAGGCTTCCTGTTCCCTGAACGAAAGGAGCTTTGATCCGGCAGACACTGCCAGTGGTGGAAGGGTTGTGGGAAGGAATTTCTCCCAGTCCCCTGCAGCTTTCAGGGTAGGTTTTCAGGGGGCTGAAATTGCTTCCTTCACCTTTCCACCCACTGGGAGTATTGCATGAACAGAGTTCTGCCTGGTGATTTGTATATCACAGGCATTTTTTATCCAAGAAACTGGTAATAAAATATTGATTCTGGATTGTTACAGAAGAGGGGAGTTAGACTTGCTGTTGTTCTTTGTCTGCCCCCTTCACCCCTCCAGCGCCCCTCCAGTCTTCCCCACAGCATTGTTACAATGGGGAGCTTTCCTTTAAAAGAGACCTCAAACTGGCAAGCGATTGTGTGTGTGGGGGGGTGCCTGGCACTCCTCACCAACGTTGCCCAGTGGTAAGCCATGCGCTGCTCTCCAGATGGCAGTGATTGGCTGCTCTTTGCTCATGAGTTCCCCAAGAACCACAGGGGTAGACAACATGGTGCTCTGTAGGTGTTTTTGTACTCCAGGTCCCACCCTCGGTGCTCATGGGCCAGGCTGGGTAGGGTCGATGGGAGCTGGAGTCCAGCATCGTCCAACGTTGCCTCCCCTGGCTGTACCGCAAGAGCCCTGTGGACTCAGTATCCTCATCGCTTCCCCAGAGACTCACTCTGCCCTCTCCATCCTCCCAGCTCACC